GATCTAGAGGCGGAGGTGATGTAGAGGCGGAGGTGGTGTAGTGACAAGTGGCGCTTACCACTCGCGCGGCGCCGGGTTCGAATCCCGGGTCGACTCCCGCCCAGGCCAACCAAGCCTTCTACCCTCCGGGGACGGTAAATTGGTACCAGATTCGTCTGGGAGGATAAAACACTGACTTGTACATCGGCTGGCCACCGCAAGTCATTGTATAGGCCACATCATTCAATAAGCCACTACGATTCTGAATGGAAGTAGAATGCGTGCCGCATCCCACAAAGGGATTGATCAACGGCGAAGACTTTATCCTTTTTACTCGATCGCATTGGTGTTCAACCTGAGTTCAAACTTCGTCAGGCGATCGCCCAGGCTTGCACATGTTTTTCTAGCGTGTTCTTATCTTCGCATGCAAGCATCACATCATCAGCGTGAAGGAGCGTCCAAGGAACTTCTCCCTGATGACATCGTGAGATGGTATGCATGACGACCACAAAAAGGAGTGGGGTACCCCAAACGTGGTGGGGAACTACATCGAAGTGCCCACAGGTGATGGCACTAAGATCCTTGGGCTTGAGTGAAGGATACGCACCCACTCGATGAGCTCTTCACGCCGTGCTTTCGCAAGGCGTACGATATAACTTCATGCACACAATCAGATACCTTCTCCAAGTCTAGCAAGGCTACATGCGGAGGGTCTCGCTTCTCAGTGTTTCTTGGTGCTCACGAAAACACAGTAACTGTTGGAAGCAGGATGCTATCACGAGCACGGGTCAACAACTACGAAGGTTTCTGTGCAGTGGTAGTAAATGAACTGCACGGAGTTCAGCCAATCCTCGGGCTACCTTTCCTTTTCCAAACAGGAGTCACCGTGCTCACAGGAGTCACCGTGCTCTGCAGCCACCTCTTGGGTACCTTCTCTTCGACGACCTGTTTGAAGAGCTCTGCCAAGGACCTTGCGGAAAACCAGCGCGGCAAGCTCCCCACAAATCTACTGTCAAGTCATCGGGGTCTGCTGCTTGCCCGGCCTCTATATTCCTCAGAGCTAAGCCTGCTTTCTGTGGTGATTTCTTCTGGACGGGGCCATATCGTGTGAGGCGCAGGAGATAGCCGAATGGGTGAACTCTATCGTTGAGACGCTCTCGAAGAATTCACGCTGTCGTTGCGCTACCTTCATCCGGACCATCAGAAGATGGCCCTCCCCTCACTCATTCCAAACACTTCACTATATCTTCGGTTTAGCGGTGGCGAGAGCTGGCAAGTTGGTGAAGATCCCGCTCACGATCGCGTGTTTCCAGTTTCTTGCTCACATCATCGAAATGAGCGGCTTTTACGGCAGCCACAACATTCTTTGCCTCCTTTGGTGCATTGTAATTCCACTTACTGTCAGCTGATTTGTGCGAGAAGGAGAAACGTGATAGAGGTTCTTTTTCCGAGCCTTCGCTTCAACATTGCCCTCCAGAGCCATGCCCCCTCATCAACTCTCCGCCGTTCGGACTCCGTTTGGCCCAAGTCGGAGGTCTTCAATCGCCGTGCCTGATGAGGACAAAGTCCGTTTATGTCTTCTACTCCCGATATATATATTTTATTTATTTATTGAATGCACGC